TGATGAAATTTTTGAGTAAGCGTTGGAGATGCTTTAAAGAGACATGTAATTATTACATTTTAGTTTAAATTTTTTTTAATGTTTTCCTGTCATTGTCATTTTATTTTAATTTTAAAGTGTGTTTATAGTGATTTATAATAGACAATTTTGAAAATCTAACAAAATTTAGTATTTCAAAATAGAGAGTGGACAAACATTTTGGGACAAATAAAAATGGAGAGATGGACAAATAAAATGGGATAGAGGAAGTAATAAAAATTAATGTTAATGTTATGTGTATTTTTCATATCAAAGGAAGGCAAATGTATATTTTTCATTAAATCAAGAGAGTTTTATTCTTTCATCAAATTTGGCAGATGACCGCTAGTGGACGACTAGCCGGACAACTTGCTCGTCAACTGAAAATTTACTTTAGGGCAAACGACCATCCGAATTTGATGAAAAATTCACCTTACTATTGGAGTGTATTGTATCAAATTAAGCTTTTTATCAAAATTTTACTTAGATTTGATGAAAATTTTGCGTAAGCGTTGGGGATGCTCTAAAGAGACATGTAATTATTACATTTTAGTTTAAATTTTTTTAATGTTTTCCTGCCATTGTCATTTTATTTTAAATTTAAAGTGTGTTTATAAATGGTTTATAATAGACAATTTTGAAAATCTAACAAAATTTAGTATTTCAAAATAGAAGGTGGACAAACATTTTGGGACAAATAAAAATAGAGAGATGGACAAATAAAATGGGATAGAGGAAGTAACAAAAATTAATGTTAATGTTATGTTGTATTAAAACTTTAAGAAGTCCAATATAATTAAATATTTAATTAAATTTTGTATTACTATAAATTAAAAAAAAAATATATATATATATTTTTTATAAGTGTGCCTAGTTGTATCAAAAGAGGAGAAATTTTATTTTGTGGTATTGGAACAAGTCTACAGGTGCTCCAACTGAATTTTTATTCATTAAAACAACAAAATGTGTTTGTTTGGGGGATAACATGATAAATCTTGTAATGAATATTCTGGAGCATTGCTCAAATACTACTAAATGTCATATTACAATAATTATTTATTTCTATCATCTGATCTTATCATTTGATATATCAATCTAGTCACTAGCTCGACATTGAAGATATGCATTAGTGTTGTGGACTCATTATAGAAATGATTGTGTCAATATATAAAATAATTAGTATAATATGGTGTAAAAATTTGTTAAGTGTAGTTGCACCAAATAACATATCGGAGGGAAAAAAAAGAGTAATTTAACACAACCCTGGAGCTGTAATTATTTTTAGGGATAGTAATCGGACTTAATTATTAAAAAAATCAAAATTTAACTTTCAATAGTGAATTTAACATTGCAAAATATTTAAAAATATCTATAATTTAACTATCTACATTTTTTACGCCATGTTTCAATACAAATGATCACAAAAGAAAAATAAATAAAAAAGCACAAATAAAAGTTAAAAGTATTAATTTTGAAAAATAATTACAAATTCATAATAAATTTTACATACTTTAATAATGAAAATCATAAACCTCTTCACAAATTTATGTAATAAATGATGATTATGTTGTAATCAATTTATGAATGAATATTTCCCTTACCTTGCATTATTTTCTGTTTTTAATTGTAGTTATCAATGAAGATTTTTTGTTCTTGGTATCATTTATCAAATGTTCGTGTAGACTTGCCGAATATCATTAGTTCGTGGGGCTTAGGTATTTAGCCGATCAGATTAATAAATATGCTCTTGTCCTAGCCAATGAACTTCGAAAGCCGAATAGAACTAGTTCATGGAGTGGCTGCGGCACAAATCGGTCGGCATTAGGCTTAGGTTTTTTGCCGATCAGATTAATAACTCTGTCATTGCCCCAGCCAATGTATGAACTCCGATAGCCGAATAGAACTACTAGATCGGAATGAATCAATAATGCTGAATATTGGTGGCTATTGGAGTGCGCGCATTGATGATGTTGCCTCGGGAGTAGGGTGCTCTCCTGAGTGATTAAAAAATGGGTTAAGAAATTCCATCTAGGTTTCATAAAGCGACTCGATTCTGCTCGTCTTTCGTGACCAAAAAAGTGTGAATGTCAACTAGACTTTTCTTTAATAGTAAAGGAGAGGGTAGGACGCTGGTGGAGCTCGACTCAACAATGAATCGAAGTGGCGAACCTCCCTGCACGGGGGGTAGGGCATCTGCAGAACACGAGAGGCGCCATTTTCCGCGTCGACGAAGTAGGTCACCAAGGAAGGAAAAGCGCCAGCGGGGGAGCTCCCTTCGTCTGCGAAGTGAGGCTAGTGGGTCACCATGCCCATTGAGCTTTTCTGTTTTCATGGGAAACAGACTGATGACAGAGGCAGATTCCATCATTCGGGAATCTTAAGATAGTATCACTATGTGAAATTTTCCAAACTAAAATGTCCCAAGCCCCGTTTGTTTTGGGGTGTAGGAGGTGGGATGAGATTAGCATGGAGGTGCATTTAGTGTTGTGTTTGTTTGTAGAGTTGGGGAAGATATTATGATGGAGGAGAGAATTAAGATGGAGGTTGGAATGAGAATTGAGATGGAGGAGGTAGAGATGATATTAAAAAAATAGTGAGGGGATTATAATTTTTTTTTATATATTTTTTACATATTGGTCATTTTTTTTGAATATTAATGTTTAATTTGTTATATTTTTTTATTTATTTTATATAAAAATAATTTAATAATTCATACACTAACAATTATTATAAAAATAAACATAATTTTATTTAATCCTCTTATTATTAATCTTTTCATTATTAATTTTTTCGTTATGAATTTCACCGTTCTATTTTTAAAAACGAACGGGCCTCAATACTTCGGACGTGAAAGCGGGCTCAATCACACCGACCCGAGTCCAACCCATAAATGCCCATCGAATTTATTCACTTATCCCGAGACTCCCGCCGACGGTCGACTAAGGGTTTTTGGGTGGAAGGTTTTGTTTCCAAAATGTGGCGGAAAACCACTTTCGCGGTAAAATCAACTTCCCAAATCTCAATTCCACTTCTGGACTTCTCTTCCTTACCATCATTCCGTTTGGTTCCCGAGAAAACAGAGGAAAGCGAAAGAAAAGTGAAAATTTCATGCTTATTTTCTACAATTTCACTTCTCTCTCTTTTCACTCGCAAGTTACTCAACAACAGGACGGAATCTAAAAATGCTGTAACCTTTCGATATTTGAATGTTTTCGTTGAATTTCTATTCACATTTATTTGCAGGGAAATCAAGATTCCGATCAGAGCATTTCCGGTAATGTTATATATTTCGAAATTGCGCTAATTTCTTTTAAAAATTTTGTATCAAAATCGCCATACTCTGATCAGAACAAATTATTTATTTTTTAAAACCTTCGCTTAAATATCCAGGTGTTAATCTTCAAAGAGAAACAGTATTAATTCTTACGGTTTTTTTTAATAATTTTTTCCGTTTATTTCTTTCATTTCAGAAGATGAAGATTTGGCTCATGGCTGTTCAGAAAATTGCATTGCATTAGGCGGAACTACAGAAAGGAAGGTATAATGTAATAATTTAGTTCTAACATGCATAACATGACCTAAAAATCATTAATGTGTTTGTGATTTTTAAATGACTTTTTTTTTTTAACCCCAATGATTTTTATGTTGAAATTTTTAATTTTTTGCTTGTATAAGAATTATAACGCAACCCTAAAATGGAAGAAATAGAAGTGCCATGTCTTTAATGAGCAATCAGGGCACAAACTCAAGTCTAGGTTATAGTTATTTGATTAAGCTACATTACGAAAATTTAGTACCCTTCAGTCATGTCACCTTGAGCTTTTCCTTCATATTCAAAAGAGTCCATTTTCGTCTCTTGTCTGAGTTATTGAGCAAGAGTGCTCTTCATGAAGAAAACCACACACGAGGCGGAGCATTGCTCTTCTTTGAATGAATCAATAATGCTGAATATTGGTGGCTGTTGGAGTGCGCGCATTGATGATGTCGCCTCGGGAGTAGGGTGCACTCCTGAGTGATTAAAAAAGGGTTAAGAAATTCCATATAGGTTTCATAAAGCGACTCGATTCTGCTTGTCTTTCGTGATCGGAAAAGTGTGAATGTCAACCAGACTTTTCTTTAATAGTAAATGAGAGGGTAGGACGCTGGCGGAGCTCGACTCAACAATGAATCGAAGTGGCGAACCTCCCCGCACAGGGGGGTAGGGCATCTGCAGAACACGAGAGGCGCCATACTCCGCGTCGACGAAGTAGGTCACCAAGGAAGGAAAAGCGCCAGCGGGGGAGCTCCCTTCGTTTGCGCAGTGAGGCTAATGGGCCACCACGCCCATTGAGCTTTTCTGTTTTCATGGGGAACAGGCTGATGACAAAGGCAGATTCCATCATTCGGGAATCTTAAGATAGTATCATTGTGTGAAATTTTCCAAACTAAAATGTCTCAAGCTCCGTTTGTTTTGGGGTGTAGGAAGTGGGATGAGATTAGGATGGAGGTGCATTTAGTGTTGTATTTGTTTGTAGAGTTGGGGAATATATTATGATGTAAGAGAGAATTAAGATGGAGGTTGGAATGGGGATTGGGATGGAGGAGATATAGATGATACTAAAAAAATAGTGAAGGGATTATAATTTTTTTTAATATATTTTTTACATGTTAATCATTTTTTTTGAATATTAATGTTTAATTTGTTGTATTTTTTTATTTGTTTTATTATTTTATAAAAAAATAATTTAATAATTCATACACTAAGAATTATTATTAAAATAAATACAATTTTATTTATTCCTCTTATTATTAATCTTTTCATTATTAATTCTCTCATTATGAATTTCTTCCGTTTTATTTTTAAAAACGAACGGGCCTCAATACTTCGGACGTGAAAGCGGGCTCAATCACACCGACCCGAGTCCAACCCATAAATACCCAGCGAATTTATTCACTTAACCCGAGACTCCCGCCGACGGTCGACTAAGGGTTTTTGGGTGAAAGGTTTTGTTTCCAAAATGTGGCGGAAAACCACTTTCGCGGTAAAATCAACTTCCCAAATCTCAATTCCACTTCTGGACTTCTCTTCCTTACCATCATTCCGTTTGGTTCCCGAGAAAACAGAGGAAAGCGAAAGAAAAGTGAAAATTTCATGCTTATTTTCTACAATTTCACTTCTCTCTCTTTTCACTCGCAAGTTACTCAACAACAGGACGGAATCTAAAAATGCTGTAACCTTTCGATATTTGAATGTTTTCGTTGAATTTCTATTCACATTTATTTGCAGGGAAATCAAGATTCCGATCAGAGCATTTCCGGTAATGTTATATATTTCGAAATTGCGCTAATTTCTTTTAAAAATTTTGTATCAAAATCGCCATGCTCTGATCAGAACAAATTATTTATTTTTTAAAACCTTCGCTTAAATATCCAGGTGTTAATCTTCAAAGAGAAAAAGTATTCATTCTTACGGTTTTTTTTAATAATTTTTTCCGTTTATTTCTTTCATTTCAGAAGATGAAGATTTGGCTCATGGCTGTTCAGAAAATTGCATTGCATTAGGCGGAACTACAGAAAGGAAGGTATAATGTAATAATGTAGTTCTAACATGCATAACATGACCTAAAAATCATTAATGTGTTTGTGATTTTTAAATGACTTTTTTTTTTAAACCCCAATGATTTTTATGTTGAAATTTTTAATTTTTTGCTTGTATAAGAATTATAACGCAACCCTAAAATGGAAGAAATAGAAGTGCCATGTCTTTAATGAGCAATCAGGGCACAAACTCAAGTCTAGGTTATAGTTATTTGATTAAGCTACATTACGAAAATTTAGTACCCTTCAGTCATGTCACCTTGAGCTTTTCCTTCATATTCAAAAGAGTCCATTTTCGTCTCTTGTCTGAGTTATTGAGCAAGAGTGCTCTTCATGAAGAAAATCACACATGAGGCGGAGCATTGCTCTTCTTTTCCTGTTTTCCATTTGAAATCAAAACGGCCATAACCTTACCCTTTAGCCTGTGATTGCCGCTTAAATGCATGGTGTGGTTTGAGTTGTATTATTTTTGTGTCATTTGTTGGTATCTCTATGATCTCATCTTATTTATTATTTGTGGTTTGGATAGGGAGGACTACAAATTCAATCACAGCTTGGGGTATTCAGAGGTAAGATTTAAGTAGAGTAACTAGAGTTAACTACTTTCTTCTTGGTGGCCTTTTAATTCAAATTTCCATGTAGCCTCAATAAGCAAATGCTACTAGTAATGTAGGTGCACTTAGTTATGATCTCTTATTGTTTCAGCACCCTTGTTTACTTTTTCAATCATCAATCACCTTGATGGATTCTGAGAATATTAAACATGTCTCTGATGCAGATACTCATGAACGTGATCACGGAACAACGACGGCTATTTTATTTAACCAGGCAAGTATGAGATAGAGTTATGATCTCTTTTGCATCTGCAAAATCGTGGTTTTGATTTTGGAAATCTGGTGGAGATCGAATTGCTTCATCGTGTTTTAAGAAACAAAATGATATGGGGTTGAATGTTTTCATTTTAAATTTTGTTTTCTGATAGCAGCTGTAATTTATTTTCTGATGAACATGGCCCAAAAGATGAAAACACAATGCGGTGGAGCAATTTAATTTCCATATGGAAGTCCACAACTCCATTATTATATTATCTGGTTTTTATCTGAGAACATTGCTGTGATCAGAGGCAAACATGTTTCTCCAGCGAAGATGAGGTTGAAATTCCTGTCTTCCATGACAAGGGTGACTTCATCAGTTCTCCAATGATGGCATCTACGTGCAACTTAGGTGAAGAAATTATCTCTGATGATGAGGTACAAAGTAAGATTGAGTTAGCAGATGGATATATTGTAAAAAACATGGATAGTGCCTTCACAGTTACGTTCATGATTTGGCTTCATTAGAATTTTATACCTTCGACACTTTGTTAAAAAATAAAGAAAGAGAAATGGAAAGCAAAAAATTACACTCACTATGATTTTGATCTTATGTAAAAAAATGTGCATTCAGCTCTATCCATTACTTATGGGGCTCAAAATCTCCAGAAAATAGGTCATGGTATCCCGGGAAGCGAAAAGCAGGGTGGGGAATGCACATGGTCTGCAGTAACTAAAGAAGCTGAGGCCCTAGTTCATTTAATTGAAAATGCTAGGTCTTCCTCATTGCATGCAGTCACTTCCAATGTGAACAGACCCTGTAAAGGTAAGGTATTATCCCTTTCTTTAAAGACACTAAGTCGTTAATGTGACTACCTTTAATTTGCACCTTTGATGTGTCAATGTCTCCCATGTATTAACAGCCCCTGTTTAAATTTTTGCTTGTTATTAGTAAAAAAAAGAAATAGAAGAAAGGAGGAGAAATTTGAAAGTATACCTTCCTATATTAAAAGATAGCTGTTATGGAGTGTAATAATTAAATTTGGGCTTAGGGACTCGTGAATCCAAAGGTTCTTTATTTTAAATTCATGAAACAACCCAATTATGGCAAAGGCAGAAATCCATAGCAAACCACAAGCACATTTTTGTATAGTAAAGTTGGCTTTTGTCAGTGGTTTGTTTATTAAACTGAGTAAATTCTGTTAGTTACTTGACTATCATAGAGACAGTTGTGGTGGTAGCCAAACTCTATTGTCAAACCAAAGATTTGTTGCATCTCTATGTTGATAGGCAAAGGATAGTCATATTCACTTCTTTAGCCACAACTATACGTTTCTTCATCTAGAACTGTTGTAGTGTCCCTCAACTTGATAATCAACTGGTGCAGGTGCTAGAGGCAAAGCCAAAGCCAAATCCAAATCCAAATTTTTGTTTCGCTTCCGGTCACATAAGGCAGATATCCCATTGTCACAAGAATTAGAAACTGTTGATAATAGAACAACAGAAAATTCAATGGTTGAGCTTCTAGAAAATTTTCAGGGAGAAAAGATGGAACAGTCCGAGATTTTTGACATGCCAGCTGAAGTGGCACCTGGACATGAGTTACCTGAGCATTCAATGGCCGAGCTCCTGGACAACTATCAGGAAAAGACTGGTCTTCCACTGGAAAATTCTAAAATGGTTAGCTTTCTTCTTCAGTAAACTCCATTTGCTTTCACAGTTCTCTATCTTCAATTCAATTTGTTAATGCTCCAGTATACAAGAATGAAAGGGCGAAGCGAGCAGCCGATCGATGAGAGAAATATATCTCCGTCGGGTAAGAGAAATATGGACAAGGAAGACCCTCCCGAGGCATTGGACAGCGGATCATCAAGTGATGATGAAGTTTCTCCTTGTGTTGGTGTTTCTTTAATTTTGTTTTTCTCATTGAATCATTACAACTATGTATGGTAACAGTTTCACCTAGCTGTTAAACTCTGACTCCAGGCTAATGTTCAAAATTTGGGGCTTATCATCCCTGAATCCAAACAGAAGACTATGACTGATAAATTTCAAGAAGCTTTTGGTTCTGCTGCTATAAATGATGAGGGGCCCCATTTTGCATTGCATGAGTGAGTGAAGAAACTAGATGCTGCCAGTAATTACCATGCTCTAAATTTTACCAATTGCAAATTCCAAGTGAGAATTTATATACTAAACCATGAATTCTTCTATGCTGCCAAATTCTGCAGCATTGGAATATTTGCAAAGTTGCAGCGGGTAATGCAGAGTGAAAAGAAAAGAGAGTTGGATTTCTTAAAAAAGTTACAGACTGGAACTAGTTCAAACGGTGAAAGCCTTTTCATTATTGTTGTTATCATTCTTTACCACTTTTTGTTAAAAGATACTCACAATTATTATTATTATTATTATTCCCCCTTTTTGTTCAAAAATGCAGTTAGAACCATGTGTAGACACAGAATCAACATAAAAAATTTGTACTAGGTAGGAAACAGCACATAAGCTTCTGACTACCTACTATTTGTCCCCAAAAAGGAAAATAAATAAATAAAAAAATGGGAATTTTGAATACCACTTTAATTTTATGCAGTTGAATCCATTGTGTCTTTTTAAGTTGTTTATTTATTTATTTATTTATTTTAATTTTTATTTCAGATGAAGCGCGCTGCATTGATGTGGAAATTCTATCAAGGTGCCTGGAAGCAAAGCTGACAGTTTGTTGCTGCTCTCTCAGCAGAGACAAAGAGGTTATATATGTTGACATTAAATACATGTTTAGTGACGAAAATACACAAAACATTGCTCTTACAACCACCACTTATGGGTTCAGCCTTATAGAAATTGACAAATAAAATAAAGGTTTTATTCAAATTCCAAACTGTCTTTTGAAATTGCACGCAACTTTAATTTTTGCGGTGCTTGTAAAGTTGCTTCTTTTCTTTTGGAGATGTTTTGTTATTTATTGCAATTGTGCAATGATAATTGCGATGATTGAATTCTGAAAGATGAGGTTTGAGGTTAATGGAATACTTCTTCTTGAATTATAATATAAAAGGACTATAGGGAAGTGAGCGGAATCATCATATACTTTCTAATCTCACTTTATTGTGACTGACTGCAAATTTATTATATTCCACATGGTAAGCCGTCTGCTGAGAAATATACCTGTAATCCACTGATACTATGTGCAAAACTCTCTCCCATCCGCTCTCTCATGGCAATGCCAATCTCTATTTTTCTCATGAAATTAGTTAAATAGATAGCTACAGGGCTATTGTGTTGATTATGAATGAAATTGATGTGAAATAGCGTCATTTTCTTTAATAGATTATATGCATGTTTGTCTATGATTGCTAGAAGGATGATGGATATGCATGCTTGCTTCTGCAGAGTTCCAAATGGGCAGAGACCCCCCAAATGGCAAAGGAAAATAGAGGGAGGACCTTGATGATCATTTTTAGTTCAAGGGTGTGTGATGATGTCGAGCTTGAAGTTGGGAACTTGATACGCATTCACTCTCCATGGTATGAACAATACAATTTATGTATATCTTCTGCATGACTTTACCCATCCTGATGTAAATACAAAACAAATAATGGTAGGGTTAGATATCACCATCAAGGTGTGCTTAGTAGTAACTTACGGTGTCTGGTAGTATTTCAGGGAAACTGACATAAACATGTCTGTTGATGAATTATCTATACAGGAAGCAAGTTCAAGTCGGGGGAAAAGACGAGGCCATCATTTTGTCTGCATATTTCTCCCAGATTTCATCTTGAGCGATTTGGTTTTACGTCTTGGAAAGGTTTGAGATTCTATGTTCTGTTTGAGCTGACTTTTAAGGGGTGTGATAAATGATGTATGCATATATGTGTTCTCCCCATTGTACTGCTAAGTTGATATAATCTCTTTTTGGAGGGGGGGTTGGGGGAATTTGTTTTAAGAATTTTGGATAGTGGGCAGAGATATGCCAAGAGGTAATGAATTTGTTCATTTTAGTCAAGGAACAGATTTGGTCACAGTTAGGGTTTAGATTTAAGATTGTGTTTGGATTTTGAATTTGAGTATAGATTTATAAAGGAAAAGGGGTGGGGGGGGAGGAAAAGTGACAGTTTAGCTTATGTTTTTCTCACTTTAGAGGAAAAAATTCTGTATCCCATTTATATGAGTTCATATATGCATTTATGCAATTTTCATTATTTTGTATTTAGGACTGAGAAAAAGAGGTAAAAAATTAAGATTTATGAGTGTTTAGAAATATCTAAATAAGTCATATTTTTTTCTGAGGATTTTTATTATCTTCTTTTAAAATTATATCAAAATTTTTTAGTTTTTCGGTCCGTCAAAATTTCTAAAAAGTTAAAATAAAAAAAATTGAATAAAAAATGATAAAAGAGCTTACTGTTTTTGTCTCTCTTTTTCTGTTTTGGTAATAATTTTTTTATTTTTTCGGAACATGTGAGAAAAATGTAATAATGAATGTGTAGTGTGGGGTTGTTGCTTGTGAATTGGGCCGGCCTTTTTTGGGGTCAGAGCTAGGCCCGATTCTTCAATATTGGAATTGGCAAAAAAAAATAGTGAGTGGCGTGGGGACGAAGCGAATTCCCGGACGTCTGATACGTGCCCCCAAAGCAACGAATAAAAAGAAATAATCTGATTTTTTATTTTTATTTTATAGATTGGAAATTAGAAATTGATTGATTCATGAGAGATTATTATTAGTATTTTTTTTGAAGTCTTTGTATTTAATTAGTCAATAACATATTTTTATATTCTAATAAATTTTATTATTTGAATATTTGATCTATACAAATAATTTTTAAATAATTAGTAAGGGGTTGGGGGAATTTGTTTTAAGAATTTTGGATAGTGGGCAGAGATATGCCAAGAGGTAATGAATTTGTTCATTTTAGTCAAGGAACAGATTTGGTCACAGTTAGGGTTTAGATTTAAGATTGTGTTTGGATTTTGAATTTGAGTATAGATTTATAAAGGAAAAGGGGTGGGGGGGGAGGAAAAGTGACAGTTTAGCTTATGTTTTTCTCACTTTAGAGGAAAAAATTCTGTATCCCATTTATATGAGTTCATATATGCATTTATGCAATTTTCATTATTTTGTATTTAGGACTGAGAAAAAGAGGTAAAAAATTAAGATTTATGAGTGTTTAGAAATATCTAAATAAGTCATATTTTTTTTCAAAGATTTTTATTAGTGATCTTCTTTTAAAATTATATCAAAATTTTTTAGTTTTTCGGTCCGTCAAAATTTCTAAAAAGTTAAAATAAAAAAAATTGAATAAAAAATGATAAAAGAGCTTACTGTTTTTGTCTCTCTTTTTCTGTTTTGGTAATAATTTTTTTATTTATTCGGAACATGTGAGAAAAATGTAATATTGAATGTGTAGCGTGGGGTTGTTGCTTGTGAATTGGGCCGGGCCTTTTTTGGGGGTCAGAGCTAGGCCCGATTCTTAAATACTGGAATTGGCAAAAAAAAATAGTGAGTGGCGTGGGGACGAAGCGAATTCCCGGACGTCTGATACGTGCCCCCAAAGCAACGAATAAAAAGAAATAATCTGATTTTTTATTTTTATTTTATAGATTGGATATTAGAAATTGATTGATTCATGACAGATTATTATTAGAATTTTTTTTGAAGTCTTTGTATTTAATTAGTCAATAACATATTTTTATATTCTAATAAATTTTATTATTTGAATATTTGATCTATTAAATTTTAATTTTCATATTTAATGTATTTTATGAACATTTTTATCCGTACAAATATTTTTTAAATAGTTAGTAATTTAGTGATGTGAATATTCATATTTTATAATGTGAATATTCATATTGACGTATGAAATTAACAGTGAATGTTTACATTAACAGTGTGAACATTTATATTGACAATGTTAATATTCACATTACAGAAGATTTACACTGTAAGTATAAATATTATTAAGAATATTTTGATAATTATGTCACTCATAAGATTTATTAAAATATAAAAAAATAATATGAACTAAATAAAATATAAATAGCTGAAATTTCTTTTATGAAGAAGTGTCCCTTAATTCAAAGATATTACAATTACTTTAAATAAAAAAATAAGTAACAAAAACAAAAACTATATTTTAATGGGAAAATTAACTGTCCCTCTTGTTGAATTTTCATAAAAAAATATCAAGCTTTGACATACATTAGCACTTCCTTCCAATTTACAGGTTTTCTATGTGACACGTGGACACATTCCCCAACTCAAAATTTGCATTAATTTTACTGTCGGGTTTCTCAATTGCTGTGTTATTTTTTTTTATGATATTATATGCACAAATTAATATATAAATTAATGTATCAATTAGTGTTATATTATTATTATTAATCTTATCTATTATATAAATTAATATATTAATTAGTACATTAATTGATACATACAACATTATTTTATTTTTTTAGTTCTAAATTATTAATTTTATTTATTTAGTCATATAACTAAAATTAAATTACATTGATCTTTTTTGATATTTGAAAAAAATATAATAAATTTTATAATTTTGACATTAATTATACTAAGCTCTCGTAATTTTAATTTAAATAACATCTAATTTCATTTTTGTTAATAATTTATTAATTATATAGATGAAAAAATGATATTAACATCTCTTTAACATCAAAATATATATTTTACGTTATTTATTTTTGTATTTTCACAATATCTATATTAATTTGGATCTATTTAACCTTACCAAAAGGAAATGCAATGTAATAATATCAAAATTATAAATTTTATTATATTTTTTCTAAATCTCAAAAGTGATATGTGTAATTTACCCAATAATCAAATACTCATTTTTCTTAGGCTATGTTTGGCCTTAGTTTTTTTTGGCTATTGTAGTGAAAAAACAAACATAAAATGGATGAAAAAATTAATAAGACAAAATATCACATTTAAATTATAATTATTTTAATTTTTTCTCATAATAGTTAAAAAAGTAAAAACAATTATTTCAAACAAGATTTTTTAACTCCAAATTAAAATAACAAAAAAATTTGAAAAATTAACTCACGTTCAAAATGGATGCTTAATCAATAATGGGTGATGAACATGATTGAATGTTTCGATTATAAGTTATGAATTGTAAAAAAGTAGGAAAATTTTAACATACATCATTTTAAAAGGGATATGCATTATTTATTATGTCATTTTTTTATTTAGTCATATTTCATGTTTTATTTAGTTATGATATTTTTTGTATAGTTATAATTTAGAAAATTTAAATTATGTTATTTTTTTTTAGTTATAAAGCACATATGATTCACTATTTAAAATAAATAAATAAATAAGTGTTTGGTCATAGTATAATAAATTTATATTTTTATTTATTATGGTAGGTTTTGATAATTATTTTGTAATTAGAATTTAGAACATTTGAACCAAAATAAAAATAATAATTTAACAGTAATGAAATTTAAAAAATAAAAATAATCCTAAATCTGGCGGTTTCCTCTGGTAACAATGAAGTGGTAGAAATAGGAAGGAACAAGTACACCATTTACAAGCAAGCAAAGCAAGCAAGCTCCCTCCTCCTTTCTTCCATGGCCACCCTCTCTGCCTTCTCCTCCCCTCCATGGCCAAACCCTAATTCCGACCCTCCCTCCACCTTTCTCTCTCCTCCTCAACTCGACCACTCCGATCCCTCTCACATCCCCACCTTTCTCTCTCCTCCTCCTCCTCCTCCTCCGATGCTTCCATCCACCGCCGCCGACGAAGACGTCCAAAACCCTAACATTCCCGATCGTCCCTCTCTCCCTTTACCATCTCTCCTTCACGTCGCCTTCAATCAAGACTCCGGTTGTTTCGCCACCGGGACCGATCGCGGCTTCAAGATCTTCAACTGCGACCCCTTCCGCGAGATCTTCCGGCGAGATTTCGATCACGGAAGCGGAATCGGCACCGTCGAAATGCTCTTCCGTTGCAATATCCTCGCTTTAGTCGGCGGTGCTCACGATCCTCAGTACCCTCTCAATAAGGTCATGATTTGGGACGATCATCAGAGCCGCTGCATCGGCGAATTGTCTTTCCGATCGGAGGTTCGCGGCGTTCGTCTCCGGCGGGACCATATTGTGGTGGTTTTGGAGCAGAAGATCTTCGTTTACAGTTTTTCGGATCTCAAGCTTTTGCATCAGATTGAGACGATGGCGAATCCGAAGGGGCTTTGTGTGGTTTCGCAATCTGCGGGATCGATTGTGTTGGTTTGTCCGGGGTTGCAGAAAGGGCAAGTTAGGGTTGAGCATTACTCGTCGAAGCGGACCAAGTTCATCATGGCTCATGATTCGAGGATTGCGTGCTTTGCACTCACGCAAGATGGGCATTTGCTTGCTACGGCCAGCACTAAGGGGACTCTTGTGAGGATTTTCAATACCTTCGATGGTTCGTTATTGCAAGAGGTAATCTGGGTTTGATTTCTTTTGCCTTTTTGTTTTAAGTTCTTGAAATGCTTTTAGGTGGATAATATTCAATTGAGCACAAAATTTAGGAATTTTTATATTAGTATTGTTGTTGCTTCATTGTTTGAGTACTAGTAGTTTGATAAGATTCCTATTTCCTATTCTGTTTTTCAAGGACCAATTTTAATTTATGATGGTAATTGTTAAACTTGATTTTTATTTTTATTTTTAGGGCTACACACACACACACATATATATATATATCTTGTGTTAAAAGAAACCCATTAATGGTTCATTTTGCTACCAGCAATACTACAAAATTAGAGTTAATTATTCAGAAATTATTCAAAATTATCATTTTGTAATTCAAATTCATTTTATATATCACTCCACAAATTCAATCCTAATCACATAATTTCTTTCGGCTAAATTCGGGATAATTAAGGTGGGTACGTAGAATTGTTCAACTGCTATGCGTTCACATCGCTGAGAGTTAGTTCTTCTGCCAAACGTCTGTTGGGAAGGAAGAATCTGTACTGCGAGAATAATAAGTGATGTTATTCCAAATATAATAATGGGCTTTTTTGGTGCAGCGCTAGCTCGTTGAAAGTTGATAGGGGATGTTTTTATTTTTATATTTTTTGTTAAAAAGGATTAGATAGATAGATTGAAGTTCAGTTACAGTCCTGGGGCATAAGCAGCCCCTAACATCATCGAACTACTGTTGGGAAATGCAAGATGGTACATATTGGAATGTAAAGAGACCAGAATCTCTATTAAAGCCTTCATTTGCGCACACTTGTTTGCTTCTGGTTGGTGTGCTTAATCGGATAGTTCCCCAACTGGCCCAGGCTATGAAGCACGGACACGGACACAGACACGCGCACGGACACGCGTATGGACACGGACACGGACACGGGACGCGGCAATTTTTAAAAAATGAGGACACGGACACGGCAGGGGATACGGCAAATTTTTTAATTTTTTTATAAATATTTTTATTTTAATACACATTAATTATTTTATTTATTTATTATATTTTTTAAATAATGTGTTTCAATTAATTTTTTTATTTTATCTTACATAGTTGCACGAAGCGGGAGCGGGAGCGGGAGCGTGGAATTGTAGACATTTCAAGAATCGTTAGTTGGGAGCGTTTGTATATATTTCAAATAATATATAAAAATATATTGTAAGATTATATTTTTTATGGGACTATATATGTTATAAATAAATAAGAATTACTCCATTCGTCCCAAAATAATGGTCCCTTTTGGGGAATCCAACTTTTTTTGGTAGTATAATTATTGCATTTGAAAGAAAGTTGATTTTTCAAAATTATCCTTTTGATAGTACATTTTTTGGGAATATCAATGTCATAATTGTACTTTTTATATTGTTTATTAATTTAAAAAAAGGGCAAAATAGGAAATTTATATTATTTTTGTACTTGATTTTTGAAGAGGACAGAGCGATCGAAGACAGAGAGAGAGAGAGGACAGAGACGATCGAACAGAGACGATCGAAGAGAAAGAAAGAGCGAGAGCGAGAGAGAGAGAGAGAGAGCTTACCTTCGAAGTCGTCTGGATGGAAGACGACTGATCGACTAATGGAGATCGACTGATCGACTGAGAGAGAGGGGCTTACCTTCGATCGACTTGATGGGGGCCAAGGGTCTTCGATCGACTGGATGGAGGTGGTGGATCAATTGGTTTAAATCAACTGATGGAGGTAGGTCTTCGACTGGATAAGCCTGAACTGACTGTCTCTTGACCTTGATCTTCTCCTTCTCTTTTGCTCTTTGTGTCTAGATTTGGACACGCGTGTCCAGATTTGGTGGACACGCGTGTCGCCGCCGTGTCGCCGCCGTGTCCTCTGTAAAAAAATAATTAAATTAAAGGGACATGCCACCCGGCGTGTCCCGTACGTGTCCCCGTGTTAGACACCCCCACGGCATGGAATCTGGCGTGTCCATGCTTCATAGGGCCCAGGAGGTGCATGCAATCATCAATGATGTTACTATAGTGATAGAGGTGTTTGGAAACAGGATAAAATAGTTACAAAGTTAATAACCCACTAAAATAAGAAGTTAAAAAGTCATTCACCTCATATTTTAACCAAAAAATAACTAAAAAGCCACTTTCTAAACTAACCCTAAGAAATATGAAGTTAAAAACACCACTTATGCTTCTCAACACAACTGTTTGGCGCAGTTTCTCTGAGCTGCTTATGTATATATATATTTGGAAGTTTGTGCTAGATTGTTTGGTGTAGTTTTAGTTTACAATTTATTAGGTAGCAGGAGGGATGTTGTTGGCTTCTACTTTCTAATTATTAGTTTTTAACTTATAAAAAATTATAAGTAGCTCCTTAGGCTATGTTGGGATTATTGGAAAATGTGAGGCAAATGTGAATGTAAGCTAAATTTTTTCTCAATTTTTTTTTTTTCCTTCCAAATTTCTACCCAAACAATGATTCAAAATGTAGAGTTAAGCAGCGCTAAACAGCCTGACTATATGATGGTCCTTTTTTCTTTGATGAGGTTTGATCTATAAGTTCTTATTGCTTAGAATCAATCTATATTTGAGTTTAGAATTTGATTTGGTGATTGGGCAAACAAATGTGGAGGTGCTTTGGCTGTTCCATTTGAAACTAAATTAATATTTTTCTTTGTAAGTCTTACTTATGTTTGCTCAGTTAACTTTCTGAGTTTTAAGAAATTGTTTATGTACTAAAAGCAACTGGATATGTAACGCAGGTTAGGAGGGGTGCAGATAGAGCAGAAATATATAGCCTGGCATTCTCTTCAACTGCACAGTGGCTGGCTGTCTCAAGCGACAAGGGAACTGTCCATGTCTTCGGTCTTAAGGTTAATTTGGGAAACCTAGGGAGTGATAAGTCACATGGTGCATCTGATCTCAGTCGTTCTGTTTCATCACCCACCTCATCTCTCTCTTTTATAAAAGGTAAGATTCCTTTCTTAAATCAATGGTAAACGTGGCATTTTTTCCCCATTTATTAATTACTTTATAGCACATTGCAACTCTTCTGCAATTAGCTGGAGACATTGAAATTGCTTATAATTAGGCATGTTTCATTTTTGTTGTTGGCATTTGAAGGAAAATTTCCAATTGGGACAATTGCAGAAATTGCTGTCATTAAAATGATGGAGAGAAATTGGATCAATACTATTAAATGAAATTATGAAAAGAATCACATGTAGTACTCTGAATAAGTAAACATGTAAATTTAAACGGCACGAGTACAACGAAGTTGTTTCTTTTTTGAAGAAACTTGATTTTCCCTTTTTTTTCTTCCTTAAAATAAAATTAAAAAACTAAAACTACGCAAAAAGATGAAATGAAAAGTATTACACAATAGCACAACACTTCACTCTCTTAGTTAACTTTTCACTTGCATTTCTTGAACATGCTGGAAAAGAATTACAGGTTAACTTTTTAATGAGGTTAATGAAGTTACACAGGAAATCATTTGGGGGTAAAGTGTAATTATTTCTGAATGATCTGTATATTCAACTTGTGCTAATACAAAGATTACAACCAATATATATAGCAATCCTAACCTTAATCTGAAATAGGAAATACAATCATACATAATCAATCTAAAATATATAATCAACCTAATTGATATATTTTCATAATTATAACATAATATTCTCACACACTCGCTTAAACTCAAGGTGTTTTAGCAGAAAGCACTGAGAGTTTGCCAAGAAGAAACTAAAAGCGAGCACTGGTGTGAGTCTTCGTAAAGAAATTAGCAAGTTGCTATGTCGAAGAGACGAAAGGAAGCGAGATGGAGCCAGACTGCACATGCTGACATACAAAATGACAATCAATCTCAATGTGCTTCGTCTGCTCATGAAAGACAGTGTTATGTGCAATCTGAATAGCACTGTAGTTGTCACAATAAAGGGAGGTTAGAGAAGACTGAGAGACGCCCAAATCAGTTAAGAGACAACGAAGCCAAACAATTTCAGTAGTGGCATGAGCCATAGCACGGTACTCTACCTCGGCAGTGGAATGCGTAACAACAGTCTATTTTTTGCTCTTCCAAGAAATTAAGGAATCACCAAGAAACATGTAGAAGCTAGAAGTGGACTTGCGATATGTGATATCACCAGCCCAATCAAAATCAACATAAGCCACTAGGTCCAAAGAGGAAGTAGAAGACAACAATAAACCCTGAAATATAGTACCTCAGAGATAGTGAAGAATTTGAACCAAAGTAGCCCAATGGGTAGAATGAGGAGCAGAAACGAACTGACCAACCATATGAACAACATAGGCAATATCAGGGCGAGTAACCATCAGATAGACTAAGCAACTCACGAATTCTCGATATAAAGTAGGATTATCTAGAAGAACAACAACAGTAGTGGTGAGCTTCACATTAAGCTTAATAGGGGTATTAGAAATCTTAGTGTTAGTAAGACCGGCACGATAAATAATCTCATTGGCATACTTGACTTGAGATAGAAAGTAGCCCTTAAGAAAAGAAGTTACCTTAATACCAAAAAAATACTACAAGGGGCCCAAATTCTTCATTTCAAAGGTGTGAAAAAGATACCGCTTGACCTCAGTAATAGCAGAAGAGTTAGAGTCAGAGCTAGTGATGATCATATCATCTGCATACAGTAATAAGGCAACAAATCCAGCAGAGGTGTGAAGAAGAAATAAAGCAGAGTCCTGAGCACAAGGATGAAACTAAAGTGCAGTAATAGCAGTTTGAAAGCGATCATATTAAGTACGAGGAGACTGCTTCAGACCATACAGAGCATGCCAACTTGTCCAGAGGAATGGTGAATGCCAGGGAGAGGATGCATGTAAATCTCCTCTGTGAGATGGCCATTAAGAAAAGCGTTCTTAACATCTATTTGATAAAGAGGCCAAGAACAAATAGTAGCGGCAGAGATCAAAGTACGGACAGTAGTCAACTTGGTAACAAGAGCAAATGTCTCATCATAATCAATACCATATTCTTGTGAGAAACCTTTGGCAACTAGACGAGTTTTATAGCGCTTAAGAGAAACATCAGAACAAGTTTTAACTTTGTAGATCCATTTGTAACCAACCAGATTCTTATCAGCAGGCAAAGGAACCAACTTCTAAGTACTAGTTTTCTGTAAAGCAGACAACTCATCCTTCATAGCTTGAATCCAATGGGGATCCTGATAGACGTCCTTGTAAGATTGAGGTTTTAAAAAAGAATGAATAGCAGACAAAAAAGTACGATAGGAAGCAGACTAACCCATCCTGTTTGAAGGATGACGCGCTTGAGTCGAATATCGGGGTGCAGCAGGATCAGAGTCGTCAGAATTAGGAGGATAGGAGCAGAGACAACTGGTGAAGGGAGAGCCTGACGACGAGAATAAACTAACAATGAAAGAGGAAGGGAAGGAGCATGCTAGGGAGAAGGAGGAGAAAATAGAGAAAGGTCATGGGGAACAGTAGAGATGTACTCACCAGGAGGGACCTTAGAAGGAAATGGATCAATGTGAACTAAATTTTCTTTGGAAACTGGAGCAGTGATAGGAGGAAGTTGAAAGTAAGATAGACGTTCGAGAAAAGAAATATGATGGGAGACGTAAAGACGATGGGAAATAGAGTTGTAACATCGATAGCCTTTCTAAGTAAGACTATAACCCAAAAAGACATAGGATAGACTGAGCACTCAGTTTGGTCCGATCTTTATAGGGAAAAAGGACAAAACAAGTAGACCCAAACACACGAAAGAGGGAGTAATTGAGAAATTGAGCGAACAGAGCGTCATAAGGATACTGACTAGAAAAAAGAGGAGTAGACATGCTGTTAAGAAGAAAAACAGCAGTAAGAATTGCCTCTCCCCAAAACGAAGTTGGAACTGAGGCAGAGAGAAGAAGAGACCTAGATGTCTTAAGAAGATGATGGTGTTTACACTCGACTCGACCATTTTGGGCAAGTGTATTAGTGCAAGAAGTTTGGTGAATGATACCTAAATTGGCCAAATACTCACAAAACTCAATTTTAAATATTTCCCACCTTGGTCAGATTGTAACAATTTAATGGCAGTCCCAAACTATGTAGTGATCATAGACCGAAATGTTCGATATATTTGGTAGAAGTCAGATTTATGAGTCATAAGATAAACTTAAGTATAACGGGTGCAATCATCAACAAAAAAGTATAGTATGCGGAACCCTTTTTAGTGAGAACAGGAGAGGTCCCCAGACATCAGTATGCATAAGAGAAAATGGAGAAACAGAAACTGAAGTACTTTTATTAAAAGGTAAAGCTAACATCTTGACAAGTTTACGCCCCCGACATTCATCAATTTGACTAGGAGAAACTTTACCCAATAATCCTGACTGAGTTGAAGATTGTAAGCGGTCAACAGACAAACAACTTAGGCGATAATGCCTAAGTGAAACTGACTCGACTGAGAATCTAACTGGAATGAGGAAAAAGTAACTGGAGAGGTGGATAGAGGGAGATGCAAGCTTTCTATCACATAGAGATCTACAACTCTACGGCTGGTCCCAATCTGTTTCTTGGACACCTGATCCTGCACATAACAAACGAAGGAGGAAAAAATAATATCAAAACTAGAAGTATCAAGTTGATTGATAGACAATAAACTGACAGATAGTTGAGGAACATAAAGAATAGAGAGAATAGTAACAACAGACATGCTAGAGGGTAAGACTGACCCAACAGATAGAACATGCATACCAGACCCATTAGCAGTATTAACAGTAATAGGAGAGGAAGAGAGGATACAGTTTTGAAGTAAGGAAAGGTGAGGAGTCATATGATGAGTGGCACCAGAGTTAAAAAGCCTAATAGAAGAGGAGATACATGCAGAGGACCTAAACAAACCTGAATGAAGAGAGGTGAGAGCAGAGGCAGATGAGGATGGCTGGGAGGCGGACAGGAGATGTTGAAGCTTAGCCATCTGGGTATGTAAGGAAGTCGAGTCGGGATTAGAAGTCGGAGTAGATGCAGTAAAAAGTAGTAAGAAATTATGTTTGAGGCAGCTAAGAAGACTGAGCACACTGGCGTCTCTTCTTGGGATAGTTGTACTTCCAATGGCCCTTCTGATAGCAAAAAGCACACTCATCAGAGGCTAGTGGCCCCTTTTTAGGTTTTGCATTGCCCTGATGCTGATGAGGTGGTGAGGCCAACAACAGAGGAGGCTGAGTAGAAGCGAAGACAGATGGAGACAGAGTTTGACTAGTCGTCTTAAGACGGGTTTGCTCAGAGAGGAGCCCACGAACAATAGCGTCCACAAAAGAGTGAGGAGACCAATGAAGGATGCCACCACGGATAGCTTCATACTCAAGAGAGAGAGAGTCGTTAAGAACTGCATTAAACGACCTTGCTCCCGAAACTCAACATAAGTGTCTAGTGCCTTGAGGCTAGATGGTTTCATGTGAGCAAACTGATTTCAGAGATCTGTCATCTCAATATAGAAGTCTTGAATAGGTTGATCTCGTTAACGAGCACTTTGAACAGTTGTTTCTAACTCATACCGTTTGGCAAAGTTGGATTGCTAATACACACCTAATAAGTACTCTCACACCTCCTTAGCAGTACTGTATTTGGAAAATATCATTCCAATACGATCATCCACAAAATTATGAAATTGGGTCAGAACTTGGATATTATCACAATCCCTAGTGTCATTGGAAGTCAGATATCCTTCTTGTTTTAGATCCAATGGACAAGGAACAGAATCAGAAACATAGCCTCATTTTTTCTAATCAGGAAGAAAATTCTTCATAACACTAGCCCAATAAGCATAATTGGCACCAATGAGTTTACATCTGGTGGCTTGGATTTTGGTGTCTGTCATTGTAATGAACCAAAAATAAATAGGTCGAAGTATAATAGTAACTAAAAAGTGGACCCAACAGGAAATAAGGGTTTTAACCAAATAATAGTACTAATAGTCACAAAACACAGAGAGAGAGAGAGAGAGAGAGAGAGAGAGAGAGACTAGGGTCAGATGAACCGAGAGAGACTTGCGATGATGAAGCAAGATGAACTGACGAGTCGTGATGACCAGATGGAGCTGGCAAGAACTGAGAGAGACACGATGATACCACAGATGACTAGATGAAGCAGGCGCGATGATTGATCGTGATTCACAGCAGATGGGGTGTGACAAGGGGTCATGACTAAATCAAGAGGCATAAGGCTCGAGAGAGAGAGAGAGACTAGGGTCAGATGAACCGAGAGAGACTTGCGATGATGAAGCAAGATGAACTGACGAGTCGTGATGACCAGATGGAGCTGGCAAGAACTGAGAGAGACACGATGATACCACAGATGACTAGATGAAGCAGGCGCGATGATTGATCGTGATTCACAGCAGATGGGGTGTGACAAGGGGTCATGACTAAATCCAGAGGCATAAGGCTCGAGGTTGACTTCGAATAGTCTTCGAACCAGACGAAACCTTTGAGTCAGATGAAGAACCAAATGGAGCAAAACCACTACGGCTACTAGGGTTTCGAATCTGCAAACTAGGGTTTCAAACCAAGCTCTGATACCATGTAAGTATTTCTGAATGATCTGTATATTCAAATTGTGCTAATACAAAGATTACAACCAATATATATAGCAATCCTAACCGTAATCTGAAATAAGAAATACAATCATGCACAATCAATCTAAAATATGCAATCAACCTAATTGATATATTTCCATAATTAACATAATAACATAATATTCTCATAGAAAGCTCATTGGTGGACTAAGAATACACCAAATGATTAGTTCCTTATAATGGTTGCTTTTGCATTCCCCAAATATATATACTGACAATTCTGTGCTCGTCATTGATTAATGTTGCCTTTGTTGTTGACAATGCATCAAAGTTCTTGATTCTTGAAGAAGGAACAAGACATTTTAATTGGTAGAACTTCAGAGAGCTTTTCTTTTTCTCCAAAACACTATGGTCATCTTAGATGTTTTGGATATTTGCTAAATAGTGATCTTGTAAACAGGTATTATGCCCCTCTGTCAGTATGAGTTTTAACTTTTGATCCACTCTGATACTTATAATGATTTTGGTCGTTCTGTATTTTCTGTGGTTCAATTAACTATTACTGGAGGATAACTGATAGATAGCAGGTGTCCTATCAAGTTTAAGGACTCAAAAGTAGCAATGTGTTCTATGTTTTTTCCGTTGAAGGTTAAATATAAATTTTGTATCTTTGGCGGTAGGATCTAAGTTTGCTGCTCATTTTGCAGGAGTGTTGCCGAAGTATTTCAGCTCAGAGTGGTCTGTTGCTCAGTTTCGTTTGCTTGAAGGTTCTCAATACATTGTTGCATTTGGCCACCAAAAGAATACCGTGGTAATTCTTGGCTTAGATGGAAGGTGAGTGTACTTCAGAAACATCGTTGTGTTACTTCGAATATAATGATTTAGTATTTTAGAAACATCCTACTATTTTTATTTCGACTTCAAATATTTGTAAGTAGCACATTGGTAGGTTGACCCTGCTGTCACTTAGGGCATGTGTGAAGGTAGTGTTGCTTCAACTGAACTAAAGCATTCAGCTTAAAAGTTAATTTTGTTTTTTTGCAAACAAGCCTCTCATCTAAATTGGGCAACCATCATTTCTGTGGTTATTCTATAGAGAACTAGGTGTATCAACTTACCTTTCCACTGGGATGTTGGTCTCCTTTTCTTTTTAGTATATTTATATCAAGGACATGGTAGAAAGCTTGCCCTATAGCCTCCCTTGCATACTTATGGTATTGTACCTATTGATGGTTTTGATAAGTTGTGCAGTATTGCAATAGGAAACGAATCCTATTTTATTCCAAAACATTTATTTTAATTACCCACCTTGAGGCATATATAGGGGTAAAACAATACAGCATATAGCTTCACAAATTGGCAACTGTCATATTATCTGAAACTCTAATGCTGTGTTTGGTTGAGGGATTTGGGGAGAGATTTGAAAAGGAAATTGGAAAAGGTAGATAAAATATGAATAAAATATACCTAAATTTCACCTAGTTTCGCACACATTTTTCTTTTTCCTTTCCAAATCCCTCCTCGAATCCCTCAACCAAACACAGCGTAAAGTTAATAGATTAGTTCACTGAACAAAGGTAAACAAAAACAATATCTACATGGTACAAATGTGATATATAGGCAAGATTATAAAAAGGTTATTGACAGTAGGCTTGAGCTTTCTGCTATTGTGCTTTGCTGCACAAGGAGATAATGTGTTCGCATCTTGCTTCATGAGAAGGATGTTTTAACCTACCTTCTATAATTTTTTGAATATACTGATCACAGAAAGCATAAGGGCGGACAAGAACTTGTCCATTCTCGTGTATTATGTGTTAATTTCTGTGTGTGGTTTCTATATTTGTAGCAGAACTGTTAGTTTTGAACTCTCTTTAGAGAAGAGCACACATCATCAGAAATATCACTGATTTGCATTTATGCAGCTTCTATCGATGCCAATTTGATCCCGTGAGTGGTGGAGAGATGACTCAGTTGGAATATCACAACTTCCTCAAGCCTGAAGATGCTTTCTAGTAAGAGAGTTTGTATACCTGATCTTTTTGTTTTGGCTTTTTTTATTTTATTTTTATTTTTTTTAATGGTTGTTGTATACATAGTATTCCTCGTTGCTTTTGTTGTTTCTTTCTCTTCTGATGGGGGAGTAAATATGTTTTGTAAATATATATATTTAACAGTATGCAACTAATTTAACCACCAAAATATGTAAGAAAACATAAAAATAAATTATTTTTATTTTTATACGTAAAGACATCTGTAAATAGGCTGGTGGTATCTTGCTGTATTATGTTTAATCATACATGTGTCCTAGTTTTATTGTTGTTGGTTTTGTAGACTGAATTTATTAGTGTTTTGTGGTTGAATTAAGAAGTAAGTATGTTGTTTCTTTCTCTTCTGATGGAGATTTACTTGCTTGAGGATCGTCATTTTTTTTTTTTTGATTTTGCCTTTTATTTTGAATAATTTATTAATAGTGACGTATATGTTGAATGAAAGTTTTTTTCGTAATTATGTAAACATTTGTGGTCAATTATGAAATAGATTGTTTCGCAGTTACGCTAACGTTTTTAGTTAATTATGAAATAAGTTTTTTTTTTTCTTCATAATTACGCAAACATTCTTAGTCAATTATGAAAGTTTTTTTGTAATTACGTAAATATTCTTGGCCATTTATAAAATATAATTTTTTTTTTTATTTTTTATAAATTACAAATATACGGGAGCTTCTATTTGCACAAATCACTTCTTCTCTATACACATCATTCTTAGTTCACACACCAAAAAAAAAAAAAAAAAAAAATTCACCCATTACACACACTATTATTCTAATTATACCCCTTATCTAAACTATACACAATTTTCCAACACACTCAATTCACCTACCTTCCTTTACATTTTTCATTCTCCAAACCCTAACCCTAAACCAGCCACTGTTAGCGACACCATCGTCGCAATTGCCATTTCCAGTCATCACCCCACCGTTCTCTCCACCCACCATCGCAGCCCACGCACCTATCTAACCTCTCTGCCGACCACCTCTCGTCCCTGCTACTACCACCATCGTAGCGGCGACCCATCATTGTGACACACTTGTTTGTTAAACTATGGTCGAAAATCACACATCAATTCGACCATCAACACTTGAACAAAACACATTGGTTCGACATTTAACATCCGAACAAAACACATTGGTTCGACACTGTACTTTCGAATCAATGTGTTTGGTTCGAAGAGGGCAGAAAGTGGACGACGAACGATGAGCGACAGGAGAAAAGAGGGACTGGGGAGTAGGGGTATTCGCGGATCGGTTTTGTGCGGTTTGCGGTTCGATTTTGACCCGTCTGCATCTATGTGGTTTGGAAAAAAGTCAACCCGCAACTGCCCGCAGTGTGGTTTGCGGTTTGTGCTGGTAGAGTTTGTAGATGTGCGGGCGGTTGCGGGTGGTTTGCGGTTTACACTTTTTCTTTAAAAATTAATTTTTGAGTTTTTTTTCCCATCGAATTTAGGCATCAGATTCATTTTATATATTTGTAATCATTTGACAATAATTTTCTGACGAGTTTACAAATAAAAATTAAATATCAATGCATTAAATGAAAGTACCCAAAACAAAGAGACCATACACTAGCATTTTTGCCATGAAAAAAATGTATATCAATGCATTAAAGGTTATATTCAATTAGAATTGTCAGTTCGGTAATCAATAATCAAACTAGAAGTTCCATCGACCACCAGAAAGAAAATTTTATTAGGATAAAGTGGATGAGTTATCAATGAAAATTATATAAGAAATTAAGTTTGGGACTTGATAATGGCGAAAGTTGAGAAATACTTAAAAATAAGGATCCTAGTGTCATAGAGAACATAAAGGTGCTCCTGTTAAAGTTACAAAGTTGGTATATAAAAAATAATAACAATAATAATAATTAAAGTGCGGGCGATTTTTGCGGGTTTAACCCGCGACCCGCCCCCAACCTGTAAATTCGTCATATTTCAAACCGTATCCGCCCGCATTATATTTGCGAAACCGTCCATTTATATGCGGGTTGAGCGGATTGGGCGATTTGAGCGGTTCGGATAAACCGTTGCCCACCCCTACTGGGGAGTGTGACCGATGAGCGATAGGGTGGGGAGGGGTTTCGATTCGAGAAGAGGAGGGCTGGTGGGGAAGGAAACGAAAGGGGTGGGGGAGGTGACGGAGGGGGTAATTAGGGTTAGGGTTTTGGTTGAAGAAGAAAGGGATATTTTGGTAATTTTATTTTAGAACAAAAATGTAATAAAAAAATATCATTAAGTGTGTGGGAAGAGGGGAAATGGTATGTGCAAATAGAAGTTCCCCAAATACACCCATAAGGTTTTAATAAATTCGAAAGAAATATTAAGGATTCATAAATTCACTCAAAATGATATAATAATAAAATTGGAGTCTACATCATTAGGTATATGACAAATCAAAAAATGAAACATAATATATTACATAATTTTATCATATATTTAATGATTTATTATATTCAATTTTGTAGAATAATATTTTAATTTTTAAAAAATATAAAAATATAAAACATAAATATATTTTAATAATAGCTCTGATCATTTTGTTTTGGCTTCTTCTTTTTTTTTTTTTTTTTTTTTTTTTTTTTTTTTTTTTTTTTTTTTATGGTTGTTGTATACATAGTATTCCTCTTTGCTTTTGTTGTTTCTTTCTCTTCTGATGGGGGAGTAAATATGTTTTGTAAATAAATATATATTTAACAGTATGCAACTAATTTAACCACCAAAATATGTAAGAAAACATAAAAATAAATTATTTTTATTTTTATACGTAAATACATCTGTAAATAGGCTGGTGGTATCTTGCTGTATTATGTTTAATCATACATGTGTCCTAGTTTTATTGTTGTTGGTTTTGTAGACTGAATTTATTAGTGTTTTGTGGTTGAATTAAGTAGTAAGTATTAGGGGTGTTCGTGGATTGGTTTTGTGCGGTTTGCGGTTCGGTTTTGACCCGCCCGCATCTATGCGGTTTGAGAAAAAGTCAACCTGCAACCGCCCGCAGTGCGGTTTGCGGTTTGTGCGGATAGGGTTTGCAAATGTGCGGGCGGTTGCGGCGGTTTGCGGTTTACACTTTTTTCTTTAAAAGTTAATTTTTAAGTTTTTTTTTTTCCAGCGAATTTAGGCATCAGATTCATTTTATATATTTGTGATAACAATTTTTTGATGAGTTTACAAATAAAAATTGAATATCAATGCATTAAATGAAAGTACCCAAAACAAAGAGACTCTACACTAACATTTTTGCTATGAAAAAAATGTATATCAATGCATTAAAGGTTGTACTCAATTAGAATTGCCAGTTCAGTAATCAATAATCAAACTATAAGTTCCATCGACCATTAGAAGGAAAATTTTATTAGGAAAAAATGAATGAATCACCAATGAAAATCAAATAAGAAACCAAGTTTAGGACTTTATAATTCTACGGCATTAAGAAAGTTGAGAAATATTTAAAAATAAGGATCCTAGTGTCATAGAGAATATAATAGTACTCCTGTAAAAGTTACAAAGTTGGTATATAAAGAATAATAATAATAATAATTAAAGTGCGGGCGATTTTTGCGGGTTGAGGGTTTAAATCGCGACCCGCCCGCAACCCGCAAATTTGTCATATTTCAAACCGTAACCGCCCGCATTATATTTGCGAAACCGCCCATTTATATGTGAGTTGGACGGGTTGAGTGGTTCGAATAAACCGTTGCCCACCCCTAGTAAGTATGTTGTTTCTTTCTCTTCTGATGGAGATTGCATATATCTATATCTAGATATAGAAGAACAGTTTACTTGCTTGAGGATCGGCATTTTTTTTTTTTTGATTTTGTCTTTTATTTTGAATAATTTATTAATAGTGACGTATATGTTGAATGAAAGTTTTTTTCGTAATTATGTAAACATTTGTGGTCAATTATGAAATAGGTTTTTTCCCAGTAACGCTAACGTTTTTAGTTAATTATGAAATAAGTTTTTTTTTTCTTCATAATTACGCAAACATTTTTGGTCGATTATGAAAGTTTTTTCGTAATTACGTAAATATTCTTAGTCATTTATAAAATATAATATTTTTTTTTTATAAATTACAAATACACGGGAGCTTCTATTTGCGCACATTACTTCTTCTTTATACACATCATTCTTAGTTCACACACCAAAAAAAAAAAAAAAATTCACCCATTACACACACTATTATTCCAATTATACCCCATATCTAAACTATACACAATTTCCCAACACACTCAATTCACCTACATTTTTCATTCTCCAAACCCTAACCCTAAACCAGCCACTGTCAGCGACACCATCGTCGCAGTCGCCACTTCCAGTCATCACCCCACCGTTTCCTCCACCCACCATCGCAGCCCATGCACCTATCCAACCTCTCTGTCGACCACCTCTCGTCCCTGCTACTACCACCATTGCAGTGGCGACCCATCATTGTGACACACTCGTCGTTCGTTAAACCATGGTCGAAAATCATACATCGATTCGACCATCAACACTTCAAAACACATTGGTTCGACTTTCAACATCCGAACAAAATACATTGGTTCGACACTGTACTTCCGAATCAATGTGTTTGGTTCGAAGAGGGCAGAAAGTGGACGACAAACGATGAGCGACAGGAGAAAAAAGGGACTGGGGAGTAGGGATATTCGCGGATTGGTTTTGTGCGGTTTGCGGTTCGGTTTTGACCCGTCCGCATCTATGCGGTTTGGGAAAAAGTCAACACGCAATTGCCCGCAGTGCGGTTTGCGGTTTGTGCGGGTAGAGTTTGCAGATGTGCGGGCGGTTGCGGGTGATTTGCGGTTTACACTTTTTTCTTTAAAAATTAATTTGAGTTTTTTTTTTCCATCGAATTTAGGCATCAGATTCATTTTTATATATTTGTGATCATTTGACAACAATTTTTTGATGAGTTTACAAATAAAAATTAAATATCAATGCATTAAATGAAAGTATCCAAAACAAAGAGACCATACACTAGCATTTTTGCCATGAAAAAAATGTATATCAATGCATTAAAGGTTATATTCAATTAGAATTGTCAGTTCGGTAATCAATAATCAAACTAGAAGTTCCATCGACCACCAGAAAGAAAATTTATTAGGATAAAGTGGATGAGTCACCAATGAAAATCATATAAGAAACCAAGTTTAGGATTTGATAATGGCGAAAGTTGAGAAATACTTAA